ATACCTGTACTTTCTACTTCTTCTCACATGTTGTCTTGAACTCAACTACCTGTACTTTCTACTTCTGTACATGTTTGAACTCAAATACCTGCTACTTTCTACTCTTACATATTGAACTCAAATACCTGTACTTTTCACCTTCTTACATGTTGAACTCAATAACCTGTACTTTCTACTTCTTACATGTTGACTCAAATCCTGTACTTTCTACTTCTTACATGTGAACACAAATACCTGTACTTTCTACTTCTCACATGTTGAACTCAAATACCTGTACTTTCTACTTCTTACATGTTGAACACAAATACCTGTACTTTCTACTTCTCACATGTTGAACACAAATACCTGTACTTTCTACTTCTTACATGTTGAACACAAATACCTGTACTTTCTACTTCTCTCATTTTCCAAACAGCTGGTTCCTTTAGTCTGAATGTGTGTTTGATGCGTGATCATTATTCTTTAGAGTCATTGCGTGCCTATTGATTTGAACACGATCCGTGTATCCATCATTTCCTGGTCTTCTCTAAAGAAGAGGGACCAATGGAAACGTTGTCATGTTGCCGTTGTTCAGCATGGAAACATTCATTAGCTAACAATGACATTATTGTTCTATTAATATAAAGGGAGGTCAGGTACTCTTTAAAACAGCTGCTAGTTATGGGTACTTTTTACTGAAGTACATTTCAAAGCCTCTTTACTTTTACTTGAGTCAAGAAGTTTAGTCAGTACTTCTACTTAGAGTATTTTTAAACACGATTATCTGTACTTCTACTTGAGGAAAGGATGTGTGTACTTGTGCCATCTCTGCTTATACATACAATACACATTTAAAGTCAGTTTAATTTGCCTTACAAAGATTGAAATATAACCTGTGTGGAAATACCTGCGGGTTTGGGTCGAGGCGAGGCTCCGAGCAGTGAGCTGTGCAGGAGGAGACACACCATGAGCAGCAGGAGCACCACCAGGATCTGGTTAACTGGAAACAGAGGAATCAAACATACATGAGGTGGTATCCAATCAGACTGTAAGCTGGGTCTTTAGCATCAACATAAAACTGTGTTTACTGATATATAGGATCATGCTTTTTCTCATAGCATCAGAAAAGGTTTACTATCTATTGCAGACCAGATCTAAAGGAGGATTAAATCTCCATCTGACACTTTTATCACGTCTGGCTGCTCTTTCAGGTGCCATAGCTACATCTGCACCTGAGATATTCAGGACTCACTGACCCCTGGGAGGCAGATGTATGATTTCTAGCACACATATTTGGATTGCTTTGGACGGTGAGATAAAAAAAATTGAACAAATGGAAAGCACGCGTAATATTTTTGGAAATCCCAGTTTCACTTACGTAGCTGACTAGTTTGCATTCAGTCCAAAGTGCTGTTTACACACTGGCTGGATACTCCTTACAGCCTCTCATATGGTTACCTCATCACACCCTCCCCCCAACACACACACACACACACACACACACACACACACACACACACACACACACACACACACACACACACACACACACACACACACACACACACACACACACACACACACACACACACACACACACACACACACACACACACACACACACACACACACACACACACACACACACACACACACACAGGGTATCTTCCTTTTACCACACACACCCCCACACACACACACACACGGTATCTTCCTTTTACCACACCCACACACACACACACACACACACACACACACACACACAGTATCTTCCTTTTACCACACCCACCCACACACACACACACACACACACACACACACACACACCCACACACAATCTTCCTTTTACCACACCCACACACACACACACACACACACACACACACACACACACACACACACACACACACACGCACCACAATCTTCCTTTTACCACACACACACACACACACACACACCACACACACACACACACACACACAGACACACACACACACACACACACACACAGTATCTTCCTTTTACCACACCCACCCACACACACACACACACACACACACACACACACACACACACACACACACACACACACACACACACACACCACCCACACCCACACCCACATACAATCTTCCTTTTACCACACCCACACACACACACACACACACACACACACCCACACACACACACACACACACACACACACACACACACACACACACACACACACACACACACACACACACACACACACACACACACACACGCTAGATGCTTTCCTTCTGGGAAGTTTGGGGGTTCCTTTCATAGACTTTACCCAAATAAAATCTGTAGAAGACGTAGCTTCTTTGCCTCAACGTAATGTTTACAACCTGAGACGGTAAACCTGCCACTTTGCATTCACAACACACCTCATCTTCACTTACCTTTTCTCAGGAGAGCCATATTTCATCGTTGCTTCCAACAACAGCTGCAAACACACAGAACAAAAGAGCTATTAAGTCACTCAAGAGAAGTTGAAAGATTAAATATTCCTTGGCCTAACAATAACACATTGAAGGATTTTGCCTTTTCTTCTGAGGGGTATTGACACTGAAGCTTGGCAACAGAGCTCAAAGTGACGTACAACGTTTGAAATATTTATGGATAAGATGACAGGCCTCATGTATAAACAGTCAAAAGACATGGCTAAAGATTCAGGGTTTTTCTGCACAGACATTTAACTGTCTGCTTCCTCTTGGTCCTTTCAGCTGAAAAAGATAATCATTAGTGTGAACGTCTGAAATAATCACAAAACTACATTTGACAAGAAATGTATCAATACAGCTGCTTACACACATGTGATTTACACTTATACAACACACTTTAAAGAAGACATATGCTCATTTGCAGGTGTATATCAGTATGTAGTGTCTCTACTTTAAAGAGTCCTCTCCTGCTGATGTTCAGGTTCATATCAGTATGTAGTGTCTCTACTTTAAAGAGTCCTCTCCTGCTGATGTTCAGGTGTATATCAGTATGTAGTGTCTCTACTTTAAAGAGTCCTCTCCTGCTGATGTTCAGGTGTATATCAGTATGTAGTGTCTCTACTTTAAAGAGTCCTCTCCTGCTGATGTTCAGGTGTATATCAGTATGTAGTGTCTCTACTTTAAAGAGTCCTCTCCTGCTGATGTTCAGGCGTATATCAGTATGTAGTGTCTCTACTTTAAAGAGTCCTCTCCTGCTGATGTTCAGGTGTATATCAGTATGTAGTGTCTCTACTTTAAAGAGTCCTCTCCTGCTGATGTTCAGGTGTATATCAGTATGTAGTGTCTCTACATGTCTCCATGCTCTAATGTTAAAAAAGTTATTTATTCTTCTCATACTGTCTGTGCTGCAGCACCTCTTTTCACCCTCTGTCTGAAACCAGAGCCCAGTCTGCTCTGATTGGTTAGCTGGCCGGCTCTGTTGTGATTGGTCAACTGCTTAGAGATGTCCCGCCCCTTAGCTTATCACGTACAATGTGTTGGAGCGCTAGCCAATAGAAGCTTTGGAATTTGCACACAAACCTATATAACTCACTACAGGAAAGGGAACACGCAATACAAGCGTAATAGGGCCCCTTTAAGGCTACTTGAGGGGTTGGTTAGATTGCCACACACTCAAATTGTAATTTAAAACAGTGAGAGATATGTTTAATTTCAAAGACACACAGAAATATATTTTTGGGCACACATTTGTATACAGTTTTGTTTGTTTCTGTGACAAACTGCCAGCTAACCTGACCTGCAGTAAATTCACTGAGGCCTGCAGACACATGTGTTTAGAGCAGCACAAAAACATCTGGACCGAATTAGCTTCAGATGCTGGAGGCCAAACACACTGTCTCCGGTCTGTCGAAATGTTTTATTGGTAATCCACTCGAAACTCTTTAAATTACAATGCAATACATTTACATGTGATATGTTATCCTATCTCAATGCGTTTATAGACACAATGTCAGTGTTTTTGCACCAACAGATGCAAATCCTCCTGTTGTAAGCTTAATTTGAAGATTTTGTCAAATATATTACATTAAATATCAGTAAAAAGATTATCTCCTCTCTTACAATAGTTTATTTGCTCTACCCAGGGATCATTGATAAGTTTAAATACATAAATAATTTCCAGAAGTTCCTAAAAAGTTGCAATATAACAATGTAAGTGTAGGTAAAGGGGGTGTGGGTCCGGTCCAAACCCAACCACTTAAATCATCCCACTGCAACAAAAAAAACCTAACCTGGATAGAGTAGTCTACTTTATCTGAAACTCTCTTCACAATGCTGTAACATTTTATTGATTTATATTGGAGTTAAGTTGTTAATGTTGATGTTTCTATCAAATAAGTGTTAAAACAAGTTTAAAGAAGGGAAAGCCCTTCATGCAAGGCAGACAGATGTATACAAAAAGAGAAAGAACACATAAAACTACCAAAAAATTGCATTGACACATCAGTAAACTGTGTCATATAGCTTGTAGCTTGTTTTTCAAATGAAAAGTTAAAAGGGCAGATTTTTAAATTATCCTGAAAATATTTTTTCAGTGTAAAAGGACAGAAAGTTCTCTTGTCCAACACATACAACAAAGCTGCATAACTAGGTCAAAATACACAAAACATGTGTCGAAATAAGCGATGAACAATAGCCTTTGCAGATCATTTGACATGCACAAAAACGAACTGTGTTGTTTTTCGCTAAGATGCACTTTAGAATAAATGAATTAAGAGGTGTGCCCCTGTTGGTCTGATGTGTAAATCATCAATAAGGAACACAATCAAAGCAAATGTAATATATCATAAATGTACATACCAGACAAAGAAGGTGGCAATGCGGTCAGTTTCATTCCTGCTGTTCATGGTCCATGTTGTAAAACCTTTCAGGACTCTGACCAACAATCCCACTTTTCTGTCTCCCCCACTTTTGTTTCTCGATCCTCCTTCTTCCCTCCAGATGTGACTCATCTTGTTCACCAACGCTGAGTCCTTTGCTGACATTTTGCCAAACACTGGATTAGCGCTCACAAATTAACAGAACCAGCAGTGATACTGAAAACATAATTACATCTGCTGTGAAAACTACGGTTTTTCTGCTGTTATTTAAAGGACTTTAGTCACGATGTGAGAGAAATAAATGTGTTTATAAGGTTCATTTAAACCAGGGGGCATTGCCACACACGTACATAGGTATGTATAAAGCTACGATTTGACAGATTACTTGTATTTTAATATCATGGAAGAAAAAAGCGAGTTAAAGAAGTGTGAGACTATTTTAACGAGCCAAATCGCACGTTGTCACAAAAACTACATTTCCCACAAAGCCTAGGGTGCCGGTCTGCCGAAAAGGACGACTAAGATGTATTCCTTATTTAAAGTTTCTTCTACTTGAGTACATAAACACGAATAAATTACATGTATGAATACATTATTTGTAGTTAATAAATACATTTGTTCTTTCATTATAAATTATAAGTGCTATCATAAATATTTGTGTATCAAACGTTGTCTTTTAAGTCGAAAACATTATTTACTTTCAAACAACATCACATTTTCTATATAATAATAATTAAACAAATATTCATAATGGATTTAGTTTGTATCTGCATTTTTGTTATAGTTTATTTTTTGTTAACGCAGTCACAGTGTAAGGTCATGGTTGGCCATTTAATTTCTTCCTACTCTGCAATAAAAACTGGTAAACAATGTATTCCAGCATGTCTTCAAGAAGCCTAGCTTAACTATTTTCTATGAATTGACCAGTTAGTGACTTTGTTTACCTGCAGCAGCCTTTAACCTGCACCCAGCATGGACGAAAACACATTAAAACAGCTGGTAAAGCTCACTCAGGAGGGACAGCTAAACTCCCTGGAGAAACAGGTAACATTAGGAGGCTCAGTGGCTCTTCAGACAGTCAGTAATAAACACTTTGGTCGGTCAGGAGACACTTTGCTACACTACGCTGCCAGAAAGGGACACCTTGACATTGTGGAGTATCTAATAAAGCGGGTTGGCGTGGATGTGGATGTTTACAACAACGACTACAAGAGGCCGCTGCACGAGGCTGCTTCTATGGGACATCAGGAGTGTGTTAGCTATCTTCTCCATGAAGGAGCCAAAGTGGACAGTCTGAAGAAAGCTGACTGGTGAGGATACATGAGTCAAAAATAATTTAAAAAACGAGGAGAAATTGTGCCCTCGTGATCTTTAAATACTAACTGCACGATGGTTGATGCCAGTTCCCTTCGATAGCTCAGTTGGTAGAGCGGAGGACTGTAGAGGCGGAAAGCTGAAATCCTTAGGTCGCTGGTTCAATTCCGGCTCGAAGGAGGACCTTTTTAACTATCCCTTTTATATATATTTACAAAACGCGTGTATAACATACAGTGGAAGCGGTTATGAAGAGACAAAGAAAGCAGCATTCTTCGTATCGACTGTGGCTTAATGTGTGCCTCGTGTTGTACGAGTTCGTCAAGCTAAAGGTCTGTTTTATTTTTTAAGTAGCTTAAAACAATATTCTGTTCCTCTAAACTCATAATTATTTCTTGCAGTGCACAATTATTATATTCTGTATTCATCAGTATCCCAAATCCTGCCGACTATTTCACTGTCCGAACAAGGTAATAGATGTAAAATCTTCAAAATCAACTTAATAATTATGTCAAATTGAACGATATGAGACGTGAATATTAATATAAATGTTGTTATTCATTATTTGCATTCACATTTGTAATTACTTTTTCTGTGATGCAAGAAAAATCACTTATTATGTGATGTAATGCATGTAAAAGTGTAAGTCACGACAAAAATGTACAGTATATTTGACGCTGTCTAGTCCAAATTAAACTAAAGAGGGAAAAAATAGAGATTTGACACAGACAATTATTTAGAAATTTGATCGTGATTCTTCTATTTATAGATATATAGTATTTCCTGTAAAATAATAATAATAATAGAGTACATTTGTATAGCGCCTTTCAAGGGACCTAAGACCGCTTTACATGGTGAACAAACAAACAAAAACAAAAAATTAACTATATCTACAAGAAAAACAACAACAACAACCCCTGTGTTCTGTGAGTGTTTCAGTCTCTCTTCTCTCTCAGGACCCCCCTGATGATGGCCTGCACCAGGAGAAACCTCTCTGTGATCGAGGAGCTGCTGAGTCTCGGTGCTGACCCGGCTCTGAGAAACAAAGATGGCTGGAACTGTTTCCACATCGCCTGCAGGGAGGGGGATCCTCTGGTCATAAAACAGCTGCTTCTTATCAGGCCAGACGTCTGGAGGACGGAGAGCAAGACGCAGAGGACACCTCTACACACTGCAGGTAAGACGTGCTACATCTTGTAGCACTCGAGTCTGTGTTACTCCGTTTCAATTGTTGTGTGTGGTTTTACTACATTAATAACATCTGTTTAAGGTAAAGCGTCCTCTGGTTTACTTGCAGTGGTTTAGCTTCACCAAATCTCTAAATGGGTGTTTAGGTGATCACTGAGTGAAGGACTTAATTCAAATTAGTTTTTTTCTCTCTTGTTACTTGAATGATCTTTGTGTTCATTGTCAGATTATAACCAGTACTCTCTCTGTTCATCATGCAGCGATGCACGGCTGCGAGGACGTTGTTATCATCTTGCTGGAGAGGTATGTAAATATATTTTGTATGGGGAATATTTCACATAAAACAAATATAAAACACTAGAAAGTTAAATATTATGATTTAAAACCAACACACAAATATGTAAGTAGCCAAGCTGGAAAGATAGTTTGTTTACTTACATTTTCCACCCGTTTTTTGGGATATAAATACTAGGGGTGGGAATCACCAGGCTCCCCACGATACAATACTATCACGATACTTAAGCCACGATACGATAGTATTGCGATTCTACGATATGCTAAGTATTGCGATACGATATATTGCATTTCTGATATCTTTCTCTGCTGACTCCATCTTTGTTTGACTAACTTCCTGCCAATCCCACTGACTTTACCTGTAGTCATGACTCCACAAGAAAAAGCTCAGCACCATCTTCTAGTGGGTTGAAAAAGCAATTGTTACCAAAAACTTTAATTTGGAATTGAAATATGAATAGTTTATATAATAAAATATCGATTATTGGCGTCCGTGTATCGATACAATATAGCCACGCAAAGTATCGATACTATGCTGTATCGATTATTTCCACCACCCCTAATACATACAGTATATTATATATCAACTTGAAAGTCCTCCTCATTACTCACAAAGCCCTCAACAATCAGGCCCCCCCCTACCTCACAGACCTGCTGCACCACCACGCCCCTTCCCGCTGCCTCCGCTCATCAGAAGCCAACCTCCTATCCATCCCCACCCGCACCAATCACCGGACCTGGGGGGACAGAGCCTTCTCCGTTGCTGCCCCCTCCCTCTGGAACTCACTCCCCCAACCCATCAGAGACTGCACTGACCTCCCCACCTTCAAAACACTCACAAAAACTCACCTCTTCAATCTGGCTTTTAATGTGTGATTGTTTTTGTATTATTTGACTTTAACTTTAACTATATATTTATTTGTTGTTCCTTTCTTTTCTTTTCTCTTCACTATATCTGTAAAGCGTCTTTGAGCACCTGTAAAAGCGCTAACAAATTAAATCTATTATTATTATTATTATATTGCAGGTCTCACACTTGTCTGACTGTCTCTTCCGTTTTCTCCCAGATGTGTCTACCCCCCCGACAGTCCTGACAGCTGTGGAGCGACTCCTTTCATGGACGCCGTGAGGAACGGACACGTTTCTGTAGCCAGGCTGCTTTTAGAAAAACACCAGGTAAAAAAAAGGCCTTTTTTAAATCAGCTTCTGCTAAATTGGGCACTCACACCTACGGTCCGCTGACTCTGTAGACTCTGTTAAACCCCATCTAAAGACACTCCTGTTTGGGCAGGCGTTTGGGTAACCTGTGTTTTTAGGACTTCTTAACACGTGGCTTGTGTGGTCATTTAATCGTTTATGATTCGTATGATGTTTTAATGCTTTGTCAAGCACTTTGTGACTAAGTCTGGGAAAAGCGCTTTATAAATAAATGTTACTTACTCACTCTCTATAATAGTAGGGCCCTCTAGAAACTTTTTTTCTTCCGTCTATCTTATCTGCTGCTTTGTTCCCCAGGTTTCAGATTATTTTCGCATGAACATTTCTTAATGATGTGTCTTTATTTTCATTATCGTACAACAAAATAACAATAACTGTTTTCTGCAGGCGTCTCCAGCTGCAGCTGACAGTGTCGGCGCTCAGGCGGTGCATCAGGCTGCTGTTACCGGGCAGAACGAGGCGCTGCGCTTCCTGGTGAAGGAGCTGAATGTAGACGTGAACCAGAGGACGACTGACATCCAGCTCACTGCCCTGCACTACGCTGCAAAGGTCCGATTAGTGAATACCTAAAGGGGCACTTCTTCCCCTGCTGGGGCTACGTGGAGATAAAATGTCTTTCCTATTTTAATCTGTGTTTTTCAGGAGGGCCACACGTCTACTATAAAAACACTGCTTGAGTTCGGGGCTGATCTTCATGTTCGGGACAAAAAGGGAAGAACTGGTAAGCAGTTTTAAACTTCGACTACAGTGGTTTTTAACAAACAGGAAGCCGCTGAAAATGAGGTTAAACCATAAATATCTTTACAACCTTAGAGGCTTCAAAGCTAACATTTCTAGTTTTAAAAAATGTACACAAGTATTTCCTCCTTGCTTACTTATTACATTACATTTAGCTGACGCTTTTATCCAAAGCGACTTACAATAAGTGCATTCGACCAAGAAGATGCAACCTTGAAGAAAACAGAATCATATAAGTACATCAGGTTTCATAGAGCCAAAACATTTCAAGTGCTACTCAACTGGCTTTAGATAAACCAGTCCTTTGTTAGTATATAAGTGTTTTGTTAGTCATTGTATCGCTTACAGTCAATATGACGGCAAAGTTAACAAAAACTATGAAAAACATTTCTGAAAAAGACTACTTTATGAATAATGCAATATGTGTTATTTACTTATGCAACAGCTAAGGCTTAGCCTACAATAATGACGGCACATGTGGATCGACATAAAACAAAAATATTATGCAAACCAATGGCTTCCTGGAAGGTCAAAATAAAAATAATTAAAGTATAAATAAATACCAGTATGATCCCCTTACGACTAGGACTGCTACTTTTATTTTTTTCATTATTATTTGGTCTGTGAAGTGCCAGAAAATAGTGATAAAGTGTCATTAACGTCCAAGGTGAGATATTTCAATATCTTGTTTTGTCAGTCCACAAACCCCAATGATATTACATTAATATGATATCAAACGGAGAAAAGAAGGCACATTTAAGAGGATGAGAACCGCATTTTGTACCAATTTCTTTTAATGAAAAATCACTGTAACCGTTAACTGATTATAGAACAACAAATCAATAAGTATCTTTGCAGCTCTGTTGAACCCCATCCTGTGCTCTCTTCTGCTGGCAGCTCTTCACATGGCGTGCATCGGGCAGCGCTCAGATGCCGCCATGACGCTCCTGCAGCTGGGACTCAAAGACTCAGAGGACACATCTGGCACATCTGCACGGCAGCATGCGAAGAAACCAGACGTAGTGCAGGTGTTTGAATGTGGAACACCAGACCCATCATAGACAATACCATACAGATGCTGCTACTGGTTCTGTTACACTCTTTTAATAAATATTTAATGTGATTAAAGTCAAGATTGATGTGTTGTGTATTCTTGAGTAACACCACTTAGGGACCTTAATCACATGGATTGAATGGAAGTCTTGCTTCAGTCTTTTATATTTCCAAAAAGGCCATAATGGTGCTGCATAGAAGTAAATATATTTTAAGAAAGTGCTTTGCAGTGAGGTTTAGACATGATTAAACATGTGCCCGCTGAATTGATACGAACAAATCTAAGCTTTGAACACCAACTCTATTATGTATAAATACTAGTGCATCCATGTATGCATGTATTTGTATGTGTATGAAATATATTGTATGTAGTTTTAGGCTCCTGACAGATTAATGTTTAAAGGCCTTGCTGGCTGACTGTAAGGCCAATAACATCCAATCCTATCGAAGCAGAATTGGATGAGTAATACAGAGGCTTTATGACTGTCACTGGGTTTACTTTACAGCTGTGTCAATCATTAATCTAGTCCACAGTGAAATGAGACTACATTGCATTTCCCATTGTTTCACTCCATTTCTAGGTGGAATTCCTCATGATGAATTTCTTCTAAAATAGGAGAAGGTATAGCCTCTGGAGCTCTGAAACCCGGCCATCACACACACCTTTGCTATCCAACATCCTCATTAATACACTGAATAAACGGGCAGTGTGTTAAGGAGACATTTCTGGAAAAAGATGTCTAGTAACACGCCTCAAAACAGAGATTTAAACGACAGTAAACAGGAAAAGTTTGGACATTTCTTCCTGTCAAAACGGCAGCTGGATCCAACCAAAAAAGAAAAGTATATTAAGTCGAGAGACACTTTACAGTTTACACAGACACTGAAATGTAGAAATACATTAAAGATATATAATGTGTGTTCTGTTTTTTATTTATACATTCATTTATTTATTTCCATATTTATTCTTGTATTTATTTATTCCTGTATATATTCCCACATTTATTTTTCACATTTCTTTATTCTTGTATTTTTGTGTTCCTTTCTGTTTTCATTCCTTTATTTATTCCTGTATTTATGCATTCATTTAATTTGCACTTGTGTCATGTTCTGTCCTCCATACCTGTGTGCTTGTTGCTGTATAAAGAAAAAACATCACAGCAAGACCTATAGTTGGGGGTTCATTATTTAAAAACACTATGGTGGTCCAGAGGTCTATGCATTTTTCATGCAGGCGCTTTCGGTTCACCTAGGGGACGGGGAGGGACACATTTTGTCTTCTCATACGCTGTTAAATCTCGAGAAATTGTCCCCACCACTTTTTCAACGCCCATGCAGACAACTAAAGCATATAAAATAAATACGAGTGAAGTATATTCTGTCTGCCCTCTTGCCTCCCTGCCTCTCGTTTGATTGACAGGCCCAGGCCCCGCCCACAAGAGGCGCCTGACGCTGAGCCGCAGCCCCTCTCATTTCCAGACCCGTTGATCTCCATTTTCTTCTTTCTCGATATTCAGCAGCAGAGTCGTAAAAGACTTGAAAAATGAATGAAGAGTACGACGTTATCGTGTTGGGCACCGGACTCACGGTAAGGAAGTATTCTAGCTGTTGTTTATCAGCGCAGGAAGTGATTTGCAACCTGTTACCAACGGCAGTTAGCTTCCAACGTCTTAGCTTCGAGCTAACTGGGCCTAATCAGTAGAGCTAAGTAGCTAGCTTAGATGCTAACCTAAACGAATAGGAACTGGGAGCAGGGAAGATAACTGCTAGCATTATGCTACCAGTGAAGATTAACGACACCAAGTTACATGTCAACTGACACAATAACACATCAACTCTCACTGTATTGCTGTGTCTATTATGTATTATGTTGTTAAATACAGCTATTTTAGCGTTTTTTCTTAAATGAATCTTCAGGCTCCCCGTCAAGATAATCGGATGATTCGTCTGCTAAAGTGAGCCGAGCTAAATTAAGCTAGCCTGCTAACAACAGAATAGCGACGTGTCAGCTTCACCGGTTAATCTCCAGGGTACAGTAAACACCCTTTTTCAAACATTAGGGTCATTTCATGAAAGCTAAGTAATACTAGTAGTAAAATCGTGACACCATATGTAGCTATGTTACGTTTTTGTTCCGCTCCTGTCAGTGCGGTGGACTCAACAGGCTGGGGAGTACAATTATGTCTAGATAGATGGATCGATACTTTATTAGCATTTGGACAGTCAATCTACAATAATTACAACATTACTTGAATAAAATAAAGATATACGTAACATCAATAATGTAAAAAACAATATATACATATTCTCAGTAATAAAAAAAACTATTTTCAGAATAATATGGAACAGTCTCAATTAATATACCAATCTGTACGTTAGTTGACTAATTGTTACATTATGAATACCTTTTAAAAAAATAAATAAAAACATTTTAATTACGTCCGCACAGTGTATAAACAAGGTTTTACACTACGACAAATTGCAATATAATATAGCAATGAGAAGCATATACAACTGAGACAATAGTTTGCACTGATTCTATGTACAAAGAGGAAGAACGATTAGCAATGTGTTGTTAATCTGTTGAGATTGAACTCCATGTGTCCTACTAACTTCTGATATCGTTTGATTTAAGGTTTTTTGTGGGCTATTCCCATTCACTTTGTCAGAATTCACCATGCAATAGAAAGGGTACTGTCTGACAGAAAGGGGGCTGGTTAAGTTTCTAGGAATGCTGCGGATTTAACTCACATTTCGGTGTGGTTCCACTAAGACTGAGGAACCGAAAGTACAGTCCTCTGTGAGTTCAGTGAACCGAGAAATACACTGACTTCCTGCCAGGTTAAAAAGCCCTGCAGACCGTTTGTAAAATGTAGTTTCACATGGTTTTAGTTTTTCTATTAAAGCAATTTACTATTGTACAGATGGCTTCATAATAACTTAGATACACAAACTTCCAATATGATATATTAGTGACGCACTCGTTTTGTATCCTTCGATGCCATCAATTCCACCTTTTTTAATGTTATCGGGTTAAACGATTGGGGGATTGGGTTTCCCATCTGTCCACTTCTAATGACACATCAGGGGAGTGGCTTGGCACAGGAAATCAAACTGTACCTAAATGCAGTCTGGTGCACATTTTGATGCTCTCATGGTGATCCACAGTAAGCAGCTTTTTGTCTGAAGACGAGAGAAGCATTTCAGTGATCGAGGAGGCCGTGCTACTACCAAGGGAGAACTAGCATTAGTGCAGTGGAATACAGTAATGCATTCAAAACGTGTAAAACAAGACGTATAAATAAAGACATCACATTGGGCTTTAGAAAATCAGTTGTTGCTTATCTTTGTCTATTTGTATCTATGTAAACTGTATGTTAAGGAAACGAACACAATGCTTGCATTCATTGGAGATCATAAAGATTAGCTTGTCTAGAAATGTAAGGCATGAGACATCAAGTGATCAATGACAACAAAGACCTACGAAATGTAAAGATTTGCATTACTGTCATACAGATATCATTACTAATATAGACACTGCTAGAACATGTTGTCTTAAGAATTTAAATTCCTTTTAATCGAACACATTCCTCTCTAATTTAATAAACCCCTCGGATTGTTGTGCATGTGTAACTTTATCTGCTGTGTTGCAAAGAGATGTTTTATCACAAAACAGATTGTTTTTGACCTGAAACACTCAGAAGTGTTCAGAAGTGTTCCAGTGTTGTAAAAAAACGTGTATAGTCTTGCTGTGATCGTGATTTCCTGTCATGTGATTTTTCAAGTTTTTGGACTGCAGAGATAGTGGTTGTGTTCTTGTTGGACTTTGCCGCGTCTCATCCTCTCCGATTTTTTAAAATGGGTTTTAAGAGTTACAAATTGAACTGAGACGTAGCCTTTGGTCCCAATGTGTTCTACTCCGTTAGCTTTCTGTCTGACTGTACACAGTGTGTTTTCCTCTCCGTCAGCATGGCCGCTGCTATCTCGCTGAGGTAGTGATGACAACGCGGCGCTGCCTCTGGCTCCGTGTCAAAGCCTGTAGTTACACAAGCAGCTGTAGCTCGGCTTCAGTCGTCACGCCAAATGAATGACAGTGACACATCACTCCTTAAAGTCAATGTCATTGCAAGATCCTACAATAGGTACAATCCAACTTCACTGGGGCATGCTGTGTTTCGGGAGAGCACCTATGCAGAAACTAAGCTAGGATGTTGCAGGATGTACAGTAGTAGGTATGTCACTGAGAGGGGCAATTAAGTTTGCCATTAATCCTTACACTGTTTTCAAACAACATCACTACTCATGGTCACAAGGGAACAAAGTAGTGTCTCCAACTTATGGGTGATGCTGTGTTAGGCTTAGATAACAGCATTGTTAAGTTCTTTGCATGTTACACTGTGCAGGCTGCCCTGCTGCCGGATATAATGGTCATACAGGTCAATAATTAGTGCCCATAAAAAAGCACAAACTACAAGCACATGAACAAAAACATCCGTCTATGTCCCTCACACATGTTAGGAAAAAAGCAGAAACTCAGTAATGAAGCTTTGGCAGAGGAGCATGCGATTTTTAAAAAGATAAATCCAAAGAAAAAGGAGGATATTGTAAAGCCAACAGAAGGATTCACTAACCATGGATTAGCAAAATGAGTTTAAGACTAATGTGCTATTTAGCTTGCCACTGCATCCTGCACCCTACGTTACGTTTTGACGTTATTTAAATATGACTATTGTCTATTACAGCTTTCATTGAGATTGAAAACTTCACTTAAGTTATGTTTAAAATGCAAACCTTTTCTTTTATCCTTTTACAACTGCAGTTATTTGTCAGGGTTAGGGATGGGTACCGAGCCCCGGGGCTGAATGATTCAAGACCGTGGCGTGGTACCGTTAAGCTCCGACGTTATCGGTCTTTTTATCCGTACTGGAGACATGTAAAATATATGTATCTGTATTATTGCTACACAAACATTATATTGCAGTTTTAGTGTCGCCAGCTCCGTTTCTAATACGCAAGAAGACTGCAGAATCCATTCATTATCTTTAGTATTTTCGAGCTTTCCAATCCAGACGAGATCTCTCTCCCGTCTGTGTGCGAGGGGGCGGGGCAGTTTACACACACGCAGCTGCTACATGCAGCAACACACACACACACAGGAGATGGCTCTGTAGCCCCATCCACGAGGAACGTTTCCACGTCAGGTGTTCTGTATGCTAGCAGCAACACACAGGGTTAACTCTATGATACAAACATGGGTTAATGATTAGAGGAAACTGAGTTATTTATGTTGTTAAAGTTTGAGCTATTCTGTCATTAGATTATTTAATACCATTTGTTAAAACACTGTTGTTTCTTTTGAAGTGAAATATTATGTATTTAATTAAAATAAAAAGCAATGTTTGTTTTGTTCACAATTTGTTTAGTTCTCCAAAAGAACCGATATGAGTACCGTTAAAAGACCGGGTCGATAAGCGGTATCGATAAAAGTAGTAGTACCATTAAAACCTTAACAATACCCATCCTTAGTCAGTAGGGGTGTAACGGTTCACAAACATTTCGGTTCGGTACGTACCTCGGTTTTTTGGTCACGGTTCGGTTCGGTACGTTTTCGGTACAGCAGAATTTTTTTTCACAAAACAAAACATATATATATATATTTTTTTTATTATTATTAAACTGTGAATAATGTATTCACTCAAATAAATACAAAATATAATAAAATAAACATTAAGGTGCAGCATTTCGATGAACTGAAATAATCTGTATTTGAACTTTACTGTACTAGTACTCACAAAACATAAACTATTAGTTTTGGGTTTTTTATTTTTTATTAAACTGTGAATCTTCACTAAAAAAAATACAAAATAAAATAAACATTAAGGTGCAGCTTTTCGATGAACTGAAATAATCTGTATTTGAACTGAACTAGTACCTAAGCAGCCAGCTTGACATTAGGACTTGCTTGTCATTGTATTTTCATGTTGTTTAAAGAAAGATGAACTTGTCCACATTGCTTGCCGAAAGGGCAGATCTGCTGGCACTAACAATGTCTCCTGCTGTGGAGAACACCCTCTCTAGGGACAGAGGCAGCAGATACAGCCAGGTAGCGCTTTGCTAACATGGCAACATAAGGATATTTGGCGTTTGTAATAGCTTTGGCTCGGTCTGAACTCTTTGCGAGTGGTGGAGGCTTACATGCTAGCGGGAGTTGGGTTTGCACTTCAGTCTTTTTTCTTTTGGTACCGGTGATATTCACGTTCGGGTGATGCCTTTTCAAGAGTGTGCAAGTTTGATGTATTGCCAGCCGCGTAACCAATGTTAGTTGAACAATGCCGACAAACAGCTTTGGTTCGGTCCACCTGTCTTTGTCCGTCATCCTTGTACGTAACTGCGAAACCAAAATGTTCCCAAACCGGAGACTTCAATGATTCTGGAGGATTTTCGAGCTCAACTTTATCTGCGTTCGCCATTAATTTTCGACAGTTCCTAAAATTACTGACTACATTTGAACGCATCCCTCTGACCAGCTCTCATAGTATGCCTCTCATCCAATGAAATGACTTGCTCGCTCTATGACGCGTTGAACCCAATGTGAGCAAATTACTCTGAATGCTGCGACGCAGCACCTGAGATTACTTCCAAGAAGTTATTCACGTTCTCAATTTTTTACGTTTAACGTTATATTCGTTCGGTACACTTCGGTACACACCTGTACCGAACCGAAGGGCCCGTACCGAATAATTTCGGTACGGGTACGTGTACCGTTACACCCCTACTAGTCAGGGTTGCATTGAGGTTGTGTGCATGATCTTTCATTCATCATAATGTCATAAATGTGTAGCTATTTTTGGCCTCTTAAGAGTCATACCATTTCATGCGAATTAAAAGGAACAAATGCACTTCCTGTGTTTTATAACAAGCGACAGTGTCTTTACAAAGGGAGTGAAAGTCATGCTGCGGTGTAGTCACCTGAGACACATGTCATACCCTGTACTATCGTGTTGTAAGCTGTCATTATAGTAAAACTAGTAACGAGTCAAGTCCACACAGTCACATGATGCACACAGTAATCGCATTATTGCCTTTGGACTGTGTGAATTCCAGACTCTCGCAAACAGGTATTTTTCCCTCGTCATAACCCAGGCTCTGAGACGTACAGCCATGTGAAAGCTATAATCATCCTCCCAGCTCCACACAAGCATGTCTGACATTATGTTGGTATTGGGTGTGTCCAGTGTTTCCGCCAGACCAGGGCTGAGAGGGCGTCCACAGCGGGGGGGGGTGCTTGAATTTTGACTTGAGCCGTCCCTTATAGATGCTGTCTTTTTACGTTAGTGAGCCGGATCATTTGGCTCGGCTCTCTTAAAGCGCCGGCTGTTTCGGCTCCCAAACCCCCTCCAGCAGCCGGATGTCCTTGTCCTTTTTCCTTTTCGTTATTTCAAGCGATAAAAACTCTCGATCTTCTCTCGAATCATTAATATGTTTGGACGCCCTCGAGAGACTTACAAATGGTTTAATATATTGTCAAAACCAACCAGTTTTATTCCAGGAACACCCTTTAAGCCAACCTTTAGGGGATTTCATTTAAGGCAATTTAACAAACGGGAAACTCGAGCTGGCTCTATAGAAGATTTACAATAAAACAAGTGTTGAAGACAGTTAAAGCTTGTGTGGCAGTGGTGCTGATCTGATGATGAGCTATGATTTGGAGCCTGTAGCTATATTTATGAAGGGGTTGTTGTTAATCCTGCTGCGTGTGAATTAATAACAATTAAATCAATATTAATCTTAAGTGCCGTAATGACACATGCAGTGTTATTAGGAGGATTTCCCCAGCATCCCTTGGGTCTCGGTCTAACTCCTCTTCTGTCTCCTCCAACAGGAATGCATTTTATCAGGCATCATGTCGGTGAAGGGGAAGAAGGTCCTGCACATGGACCGTAACTCCTACTATGGAGCGGAGAGTGCCTCCATCACGCCTCTGGAAGATGTAAGTTTGAATATATATATATATATTTTTTTTAAACTTTGTCTATTGTGTTTTTTCAACAGCATACAGTTATTCTATCAGAGCATGTATCACAAGTAGGTAAATAAATCTTCACTTTATCAGGGGGTCCGCGGGGTCTTAAAAAGTATTAAAAGTTGATAAATCAATTTAGAGAAAATGAAGGCTATTAAAAAGTATTAAACAGCATTTTCTAAGGTATTACATTTTGTAGCTTGTTTTCAATAAGTATATAAATGGTCCAAAGAGGTTGGTCTCTACAGTCTGCCTGAATGTAATCATGGCGTAGGTGTGTAGTGTGATTCTGTGTAGTTTATTGATGGCATCCCGTTGGGTTTGACGTCATCTGAACAGGACATCGCACGCTCACTGCTTGATAGCGCGGAGGTCCGTTTACGCCGGTTGTTAAACAACATCGTTATGGGGAAATGCAAGTCTGCGTCCAAATGGTTGGAAGATAAGGAGGAAGGACAATCAATACTGTATATAGTCAATGTGAGGTAAAGTGTGTTGCCAAGGTAACCGGTTAAAACTCCAAGTGGAGATGAGGTCTTAAAATGTATGGAAAGGGTCTTAAAAGGTCTTACATCTGACTTCAGGATTCCTGCATAGACCCTGATTTATAGAAAAATAGGTAGAGTAACAATGTAAATGCTGCCAGGGCAAACAAAATCCCACACAGACAGAAGACAAACAGACGTACAAAAACAGACGTACACAAAATAAACAAACAAATAAATAGAAAACCAGTCAGCTAAAACAAAAATGTCAATAATAAACAATACATGTCAGTACGGCAGCACCTCCTCCCCGCGACAACCGCTCCAACATTTTAAAGTTTAATCAGGAATGTTTGGGAACTTCATCCTGTTAACAAGTTTGAGAAAAGGGCCCCAAAAGTTCATATTTGACTGCATGATATTTGACACATTTGTAGTATGTGACATTTTTTCCGCCTTTTTAATAGATTTTGTGTTAAAACCTGAAGGCTTTCCATGATTTAGACAGATTAGACTCCTGTCAGTGATGTACTTTAGCTTTAAGTCATTCACATTGCGAGGGAAAGCTACAGCCTTGAGGCCTGGCGTCTTTAAATGCTTTTGGCCGCAGAAGGGTGCTGTGGGATTTCTTCCCGGTGAAGCACGTGCTTTCAAGGTCGGAAAAAAACAAGTTTAGCCAACTTCTGAGTCAGAAGTTGGCTAAACTTGCGGGGTTGTGGTCAGAAGTTCTGACCAAATAAACAAACAGAAGTTCTGACCACAACCCCGCAAGAAATGTTCCATGAATTTCAAAACGTTGGCATAAGTTGTGCTGGTAATTCCATCATTTAGAGTGGCATCAGAGACGCGAAGAAGCTTTAGGATTTGGCAAACACGATTTGATTTATAAGCGGAGTTTAAACAGAATTTAAAACCTAGTCTTGTAGTGAAGTAGAACTGAAAGAATCAGCAGGAAATGAAAAGTCTATACATGTTTAATTAGAAAGAATGTCTACACAATAATATCCTTTCATTTCTACTTCCTCATTACTTACAACGCTTACAACAATACAGGTTATTCCGGTATATCTACTTTTTTATTTAAATTAGTTTTAAAGGGGACCTATCATGCAAAATGCACTTTCTGATGTCTTCTCTACATAAACATGTGTCCTCGGTGCGTCAGGGAACTCACGCAGCGTCAGAAAATAAAACCCTCTCTCTTTTCCTCCGTACCCAAATCTCTAAAAACGGGGGAACAACGGAGCTGATCCAGATTTGCGTCCGATATGACGTCATATCTGAAATGTGGACCCACGGCCCAATCAGAAACGTTGCTATCAGAAACAATGCCCGACTGTTTTGGACGTAATATGGTCTGTGTTTACATTAGCATCGCTAACACTCAGAGCTAACCTGTACTGGAGAGCATGTGTGTGAAGAAGCAGGAAGTAAAAAGGAACTCACCTTGTGGTATAACCGGCAAGAGAGAAAGCCTTTGAGCTCCAAACTGTTTCAGAGAGAATCCTTGATAATCCATGATATGGCGTTTCATCACGGCAGCATTTAGTTTAGACAGTAGCTGCCGGGTCCCGCATGAGCTCAGACCCCTCCTTTTATTTTTAAAGCTTTATACCCAAATCAGCACTTTTGAAACAGGAAGTGAAATAGAGGGATATGAGGCATGGCTAGGATGGGTTTGGTATTTTGAGCAAAACACTTCATAGACATGTTTTTAATATATTTGTATATATCTGAGACCTATGCTATTGCCTAAAAATAGCACTTTTAACTTCTGTTTCATCGCTCACTGCTGCATAGCAACCTAATTCAATTGTTCGCCGAATCATATAGCTTCCTCTCGGCCCTGCATCAAATGGTTTGGGAACCTTTGGTTTGCACTTAGGGGCAAATAATGTTTAGATGCGGTCAGTTCAGGCTCAATCAAACGATGCAGTGTTTTAGTTCCGGTAGCTTCTTTATAGATCTCTTTTCACTACGACTATTTCAATGTATTGTTTCCCCTCTCACACAGATGATGATGATGACTATGTTTATACTTAGGACGGTAGCCTCTAGCCGGAGATATGGCCGCATTTTACAATAAACTTCCGCTGGCTCGCTTAAAAACAAATATCGCGAATCGAATCGCAACATCTGTCAGAAAAATCACAATTAGATTATTTCCCCAAATCGTGCAGCCCTAGCGTCGCTAAAGAGTTTCCCTTTGAATGGTTACCACATCTGCTGTAACTGCCGCTGAAGCATGTGAGTCATGACGGTTTCTGTGTCTCCCTTCAGCTCTACAAGCGCTTCAGCCTGCCGGGGAAACCGAGTGAATCAATGGGGAAAGGCCGGGACTGGAACGTGGACCTGATCCCTAAATTCCTGATGGCCAACGGTATTACTGAGATCACACACAGCCTTATCTTGGGACATGAATGTAGGCTGTTATTGCTGCTTTATGGCAGAGTTGTTTTGAACCAGATTAGGCAAGGCAAGTTTATTTATATAGCACCTTTCAAACACAAGGCAATTCAAAGTGCTTTACAAAAAGGAAAGACATGAAGAGCATTAAGTGAAATTGGACCATTTCCCACGGCACACCTGACGATCTCTCCCAATGGTTGAAAATCACTTCTATATGGTTTTAGCAACCTTTAGTATATGAAACATCTTCAAATAAAAGCAGGAACCACCTGCCACAGTTACTACGGCAATATCATTAAAGTGTCTTTATGACATTGGTGTTGATATTAGATAAATGTTTCATGCATAGAGCAATATCCTAACTTTATGTGTTTGTGAAAGTAACGCTGATGTCTGCATCTTCTTCCCTCAGGCCAGCTGGTGCGCATGCTGCTCATCACGAAGGTGACCAAGTACCTGGACTTCAAAGTGATTGAGGGCAGCTATGTGTACAAGAAGGGCAAAATCTATAAAGTCCCCTCCACTGAGGCTGAGGCTCTGTCATCAAGTAAGTAATCTGAGGATCAACTAAACGGGGGTTTTAAAAAGAATGTGTGAACGTCTTGAAGCCGTCAGGGAATAGTTTGTTATTTATAAGCTGCGTTTGTGTCTTTCTATAGTTACACTTCACAACCCTTCACATTATTAGAAGCTGGTTGCATGTAGCAATGGGCGCTTTCACACCGGAGTACTTTTCCCAGTATAGTTCCGATATAGTTCCGAAAATGTGCGTTCACACCAACTTAGTTCATGAGAACCTTTCACCCCCTTTCAGTCCCTGCTAGAGAGCAGGTACTTTCGTGGGAGGAAAAGGTTCCCATTTCTGATTGGCTGGGCGGATTGCAAACCACGCCCCGTAACACTCCCAAAAAGTTTTGTGAAGCCGCCATTTTATTTTCCTCACATTAGCATTATTAGCATTAGCCCAGCGCAGAAACCCAGAGAGACTAACTTATGGCAACACAAAATAAAACATGGGAGCGGTGGAGATGAGGAGGTGTCGGCGTTTCTGGCCGTGGGCTTCGGGTGGCAGTATACGCCGTGAAGTTGTTTGCGGCCTGCCAGTAAACCCAAAGCTAGGGCTGGGCGATTTGGCCTAAAAATAAAACCTCGATTTTTTCTAACTAATGGACGATTTTCGATTTAAACCTCGATTTTTTTTCTGAAATGATATGGATCCTCCTGGATGTGGTGAGTTAAGTATGGCGAGTAAAAAGAAGAATAAAACAGATGGTTGGAGTAAAGATGCGAGGACTTGACATTTTATTTTGGGATCATCCACATTTCCAACAAAGGTTCACGGATGAAAAAAATGCCAATACTGAATCTGATGTTAGAAATGTTGACTGCATCTGGTTTCATTTCAATTTCAACATTTCTATTATTTCCAAATGCACCTGCATGGAAAGAAAACCTATTAAATATCACTGTCCAGAATAATTTGGGTTGCATATTTAGTTATGTGAGAAAAATATACATTATACACTTTTGTCAATCATTTCAACAAATCATATCTCAAAGAAAATTAAAAGAAAGTATAAAGCCTCATATATCTTTGAAAATGTAAAACTGTTTTATGAAATATGTTTTTGTTATGTTCCAATACAAAATATAAAGGCTATAGGTCATCAGTTAAACATTTAAAAAAATAAAATATATATTGTTATATGTTTTTAATATAATAGTGAAATAGAAAAAACATGTCCAAAATAAATCAGGTTACAGGATGTTGATTTCAGGAAAGGTAATATTGGGGTTTGTTATAGCTTGCAGGAAGTTAACCATTAGAATAATTGCAATGCATGAATTCCAGGTTAGTCTTGCTGTTGGCATCAAACAAAAAAATCACTTCAGACTGGTTTCATCATTTAAAAATATCATCATGTTGAATGATACAAATACAACAAATAATGATAATAAAAAAATACCCTCAAACAAAATAACATCCCTTTAACTTTCTAGGAAGTTTTCTACAGGTTTTTCGCGAGGAAGACAAGCCTGTCTACTGCCTCTGGCTTGAGGCATGCTCTTTGGCATGTTACAATATTACCCCCCGTATTGAAAACCCTCTCCGAAGGGGCACTTGTGGCAGGAATGGAGAGATATTTCTTGGCCAGATAACTCAGTCTTGGGAAGTTAGCTTCATGTAGCTTCCACCACTGCATGTCTCTGTCGCAGGTGCTGGAATAAGTTGGTTGTGTTCCCATGTTTTGCAGCGATCGTCTTTCTACAGACCTTACACAGAACAGTTGTTTGTTCTATGTCTGACTGCTTGTACCCGAACCACTTCCATACAACTGAACTTACTGAAGTGGTACCTTTTTTAGGAATGAGTTCTTCTTCATCTGTGTTCGTGGACATTTTTATGCTACGTCTGTCGTAGTGATGTGTCGGTCGCGAACTATTTAAGTGAACGACGGGAGCCGGCTCTCGCCCGCGAACGAGCCGTTTTTTTTGCGGAGGGATCGGCATGAAGGCACATTATGCAATGTGCAATGTGCACATTATCCCGCTTATTACATGGCCAAATTCTCAGCAAAGTAACGACATGACTCCCAATATTAATTGAAATGCTTTTATGGATTTAGAAAATGATTTTATTGATTTAAAAAATAGTTTTGTATTGATTTAAATTGACATGCATCCGCTAAGAAAAATAGTGCGTTGTTACTGTTTGAACTAATGTAGCAACGGCAGGAACTTGATTACAGATCCAAAAAAAAATCGCGGTTTTTCGGTTTAGCCATTTCACAAACCGTAGGAAAGTAAAAATGCGATTAATCGTGAAAACCGAAAAAATCGCCCAGCCCTACCCAAAGCAGAAGAAGAAGTGACGTCAGCGGCTTCATTTGCCTAATCCACCCTCAGGGACTTCGATCTGCTCTTTAGTTCATCAGTACTTAGTTCATCAGAACTTAGTTCATCAGTACTTAGTTCATCAGTACTTAGTTCATCAGTACTTAGTTCATCAGTACTTAGTTCATCAGAACTAAAGAATTAACTAAGTACGGCAAAGTACTTGGTGTGAAAGCGCCTAATGCTGTTGTAAATTGTTGTTGATTGTTGTAAATCAACTCAAGTTCAAACTCTTGCTTTCCTAAAGGTCTGATGGGCTTATTTGAGAAAAGGCGCTTTAAAAACTTCCTTCAGTTTGTCGCTAAGTATGACCCGGAAGACCCCAAAACCATGGAAGGCATCGACCCCACAAAGACTCCAATGAGGGACGTTTTTGCGAAGTTCAGTCTGGGTCAGGATGTCATGGACTTCACTGGCCACTCCCTGGCCCTCCACCGCACAGACGAGTCAGTTTCCTTTCTTGTGGTTTGTTATTTTATTATATAATTGCATGTGTTGGATGGAGTTTTATCTGTTCTCCGTCTCTCTCCACTTAGCTACCTGGATCAACCTTGCCTCGATACGATAAAAAGGATCAAGCTTTACAGCGAGTCTCTGGCCATGCATGGAAAGAGCCCATACCTCTACCCACTGTACGGCCTGGGAGAGCTTCCACAAGGGTTTGCCAGGTAAGGGACTCTTCCTTAGTCACAGATGTGTAATATTTGTGTATACAACAAGCTGCTAAATGGCGGCAAAGTCTGGGGGAATCCGATATATTTGATATCGCAGCGTTGTTAATCGTTTAGCTGCACTGCTGTTAAATGCAAATAAAGAAATCTCCCTATCTATTATCAGATCCAACGTTTGTGTTTAATAACTAATAGTGTACCACGGTGTGTTATCATTCCAGGCTGAGTGCCATCTACGGCGGGACGTATATGTTGAACAAGCCCATCGAGGAGATCGTGGTGGAGGATGGGAAGGTGGTGGGAGTCAAGTCTGAGGGAGAGGTGAGTATTTGACTCTCAAATATGTTTGAATTCCTGTTGGCAACCATCTGACCTCTGGCTGTTGCCCCCGCAGATCGCCAGGTGCAAGCAGCTGATCTGCGACCCGAGCTACGCTATGGACCGCGCCACCAAAGTGGGTCAGGTGATCCGAGCCATCTGCATCTTAAATCACCCCATCGCCAACACTGGTGACGTCAACTCCTGCCAGATCATCATCCCCCAGAGCCAGGTCGGCAGGAAGCATGGTGAGCGCACACAGGAAATGAGAGCATGTCTTTGACTTTACGCTTTTCATATCCGTAAATCACTTCTGAAGATAGTGTCCTTGTCATAGCGGAGTACTCTGTAGATGTCTAATTAAAATAGAAAGGTTGATTTGCAGATAAGGGAAAGGAAGCTTGAGCAAGGAGTGGTGTTTTATCAACCTACGATATTATTCTGTTCATTTAAATATTGAAAACTACGACAACAAATGTGTGAAGTCCATTGTGAACTTTTATATTCCTATCATCAGATATTACCCAGTTATGAGTGCATCGACTTCCAGCTAAACCAAATGAAATGCATCTTCATAATATCAAAATATTTTATAATAACCTTTTTAATTTACCCTAACCCTAACCAGCAGAGGGTAACCAGCAGATTTTGTTTTCAATGTACAGACATCTACGTTTGTCTGGTCTCCTTTGCTCACAACGTGGCCGCACAAGGTAAATATATCGCCATCATCAGCACCACAGTGGAAACAAGCGACCCTGAGAAGGAGATCGATTCAGCCCTGGAGCTAATCAAGCCCATCGAGCAGAAGTTTGTCAGCGTCAGTGACCAGTACGCACCAACTGACATGGGCACCGACAGCCAGGTACGATCCCTCTTCTACCGCTCGAGCAATCTGTCCTTTCCTGTTTGTTTCTTTACAACAGGCGTGAGCCTAACCCAGCCCGCGACCTCCTTTTATGTGGCCCCACAAGAGCTTGCAAAGAATATTATATACAATACAATTGGTGGAATTGTTGAATATTTGCTTTCAATGATTTGCCCTAGACTTCTGCTTTCAGACGTAGTTAATTATGAAGTTATTATTGTAACTGGTAATAATCAAATGCAGAGCCAATAATGTAATATAATACATTATTTAATATATATTTATATAGAGAAGCCAACTCCGGATAGACAGACACAGCCAAAACAAGATTCCCCTCCATTTTCTTACAGTGACGTCCTCAGCTTCTCTGTCATGTAAGAGGATTTTAAACTCGAAACGTTTGGCAGAGCAAAATCACCTTTTTTTGGGAACGGTTGAAAAAAACACTGGATGTCGGCTATAGAAAAGCTTGAGAACACAATTGACTGTATACCTGCTCAGGACTTGAGACAGAGCTTGCCTTTGAGACAATGGCCCAACCAATATAACAACACTCCTGTTGCACCTTAAAAACCTCGCTCAGGATTCCTGTTGGTTTCAGATTTCATCATGTGTGTCCACGTTTGCATAGTAAGTCAGCTCAACTGCTCAACTGCTCAATAAAAAGGATACTTTAGTATACCCTCCATCAAAGTAAGGCACTCACTGTAACAGAAGAATCGACCTGGCTTTTATTTAACAAGCATACCTCGTTACGTCTTTGCAGCACTTAAGCTTTGTTCCTGCTGTTGCGTGCGGGGCAGTGAACGTCAGCAAAAAACAACCCGCACAGGAAACACTTCTAAGATACGTTTCCTGCCACCTGTAAAAACAGAAAGCAGTTGCTAGGGAAACCTTTTTGTAATCTTTCGAAGCAAAGTTATTTTCTCTCACACACAAATGCAAAATTACACAAACACACACACAAGTACACACACACTTGCAAGCTTCCCCCAGACCAGTAATCCAAACGAAAATATCTTCCCTCCGTACTACTTTGATAATTTGCTGATAACCAATCAGATCGATGGATTCCAGAGAAGAGGAAACTTTGAAGGCCTTTGTCTCAAAACGACGACTCGGTGACAGTCGTTATATAATGTGACGTATTTTGCTCAATATTTGGAGAACAACAACAACAATCCTGATATCATTAGAAAGCTAGGAATCTCCTCTTTCCAGCAGTGCATACAACTCAAAATGTGTCTTCGGGTCAATGCGACTGATTTCGATGGAGCACGTCACAAATACAGTCTTGTAAAAATAAAATAATAACCACAACAAAATGCCTCTTTGACCGCTGTTTGTTTTTCCTCCTCTAGATGTTCATCTCTCGTACTTACGATGCCACGACTCACTTCGAGACCACCTGTGACGACATCAAAGACATCTACCAGAGGATGACCGGCTCAGAATTTGACTTTTCCGAGATGGAGCGCACGAAGCAAGACTGCTTCGGAGACGTAGAGTAGAGTCCGAGCATCCCCAACACTCCTGATTATCAAAGATGACGACGCTGCCGACAACTGAAATCTTACAATTCAAATTAGAAATCCTTCACAAAAATGTAATGGGCTGGCTGATCATCCAAGTACATGGCTTTTCCTCTTGAGGAAGCTCATGATATATCTAGAGATTTGTTATAGTTATTGTGGGATATTTTTCAGGGAGGGGGCTATGCTTTATCAAATCTCATTCTGTTGGATGTTGCACTAAACACTGGTTATGCCTAATATACAGTTAATACCCTACATACTTCTGCTTATCATGTTGATTTATAGTCCAAAGATGCCAAATGAAATGACGATTCATATTCAAAAGTATCTTACATAGTGGATATACGTTGGGGTGGGAGTGGGGGGGTTACATTTTTCTGTTATTGTAAAAGAAAAAAGCGTTTGGAAGTAAATATCTATACGTCAGTTATTGGTCTTTGCAAGTATTTGTTCATGTCAGGGTGAGGAAGGTGGCTTGGTTTTGTGCATCTGACAGCCATTAGAGAGGGTCCCTGTTCATATCAGCAGAACGAGGGGCAAGGGGTGATTGGATTAGATATCTTTGTGTCTTTTTAACCCCTTTTACTGTCTAGTCTCCAGCATAGCCAGACACAATAAAGACCAAGCCACAAAGGGTGACTGTAGCCCAGCGTAAACTACCCAAAGCTGTTCAAAACGGCTTTATATACACCATGATGCATTAGAGATACATTAGTTCCTGTATCATGCACAGTGATGGAAGAGCAGGTTAATGGGAAGTGTGGATGAGTGTATTTGCTTAAGAAGGACCAAATGTGTACTGCAGCAGTATTGAATTTATGAGAGCCCTGTGTGATATACTCTGTCTTCAAACCACTTAAAAGAAACGTCTTGGGCTCAAATGATTTCTGTACTGCAAAGTAAAAACAACTTTGTCAAAAATCAAAGCGTTGTTGGATCCATTTCTTCTTAGATTTCAGGTGTGTGTGTGTGTGTGTGTGTGTGTGTGGAGGGAAAAGTGAATGTGTGAATTGAACCACACATGTTCAATTAAGTAGCTTAAAATAATTAGTTGTATGTTTTAAGGTGTTCTTGTAACTCGCAACACTAGCCATCCGAAGAGTTGCATCCTACTCACATTCTAATTTTAGGGTGTAGAGTTTTTAAAACTGCATATCTGGTGGGTTTTAAAATGTATGATTGCTTCAGAAGTTTCCATCACAATGAATAGGTAACTCTTCAGTACTAGATATAAACATTGGTTAGTGGTTACTTCCCAGTGTTGTGTATGCTATTATTACAAATGACAAGAAAGCAAGTGGAAATATTAGGGAAGTGGGTGTTTAGCTGTGCAAAATGGGATGTTTTAATATATTAAAGATTTGAATAGTTCAGCTAAGCTATGAATATATACAGTATGTTTAAAACAACATTACTAGAAGTTGGGAATAAGTCAATTTCTCTCTCCAAGCAAAGGACAAATAAAGATGAGGGTGGTATATCGGTCAAAGTAAGAGAAAACGCTCTCAGGATATTAAAAATAACTCATTATTAGAATCAAAAAAGATATAAGCAAATGTTATGAAAATGATTATAAAGCAAAGCTGTCAGATTTGTTGTAGTTACAGTAATTAACTACTTAAAAAAGGACACGAAAAAACTATTTGAACTACTGCCATGCATGTAGTTGAAGAAATAGCAAATAACATACCTTATCTGACTTGTAATATCTGTGACCTTCAAATACCATTAAAAAAAAAAACACATTAAAATAATATGATTATATAATTAATACAAATAATTGAAATAAGTTCCCAAATTGGCATCAATAAAGTATCTATATCAAACGTAAGAACTACAACTCCCAGCATGCACTTCGAGTTCTAGGTATGTCACATGATTCCCTCCGCATGTAAACCAACCAGTGCTTCTTTCGGGATGTCAACATCACCAGCTCGCTGTTTACGTCTCATGTCTCTGCGTCTGCTACCTTACTCCTTCCCAAAGAAAAATAAGACGGAATGGAAATTCAAAGTGACCGAGATTATTTCTTTGGAGACATTGGTGAGTGTGAGAAGTAGAGAACATTTCCGGTCAGAATATCTAGTTTTTTTGGGACCTTTTTCGGCCCGGTTTGACCGGCATGTCAAACCTTTATTTAACCAGATTAGTGCCATTGAGATCATAGATCTCTTTTTCAAGGGAGACCTGCAAAAACGTGTAACGTTATCCACATGTGTCATGAGGAATGCTAACATGCTAATTAGCTGTAGCTCGAGTGTTGGACTTGAGTGGACATTTACTCAAGTCCTACACTTAAGTACAATGTTGAGGTTAGGCCTACTTGTTTTTATTTGAATATGTTCATTTCCTTCCACTCTATACGCCTTTACAGTTCAGGGATAAACATTATATTTCTAGTATTTGTTTACTTTGAGCCAATAAGGAATTATGACAGATGACAATAAGATTTGTTTTCACCCCTTGGTAATTTCACAGGCTGTAAACAAAGTAAAAAAATACATTTGAACATATGACTTTTACTTGTGACAGTGGTATTGTCAAGTAAGTGCAGTGTACTTATTAATTCTGAGTACTTTAATCCCATGTGTAGCTTATTTTACTCGTGGTACTACTGCAATAAGTGTGTATGGATACTGACAACAAACAATGGTGTGCATATACAGTAAGGAATGTTATGGTTAAATCAGTCCTTGTACAGTATTTGAGGAGACATGTACTAGAAGACTACTTTTCTAAGATGTGATATAATTATGTAATGTACTACTACTATATACAAAATGTACAGAGTGTACATTAAACAACATATTTACAGCAGAGCTCAAATGATTAGGTAACAGTTGTCTATTTATACACTCATACAAGAGGATTGACAAACATCTTATGGTAAAATAAGACACAGATTAGAGATGAATACAATTAAAGATAACATCAAAGATAACGATACAATTATACACAGGTAAGTAACTTTAAAATATGAAATGAATTCAAATTAAAATGAACATATATAGATTGAATTTCAAGATTCAAGGCTTTTATTGTCATGTGTACATACTCTAGCTACAGTGTAGTTATGTCAATGGAAATCTTAGTTCCCAGGCTCCTCCAACAGTGCAACACAATAAAACAGATACAATAGTGCAAGTAAATACAAATAAAATAGAATATAAATAGTGCAAGGAGAGTCTATATACAAGTAATTGGAATATGATATATTAGATGAATAATTTGTAAGTTGCAACCAGATGAATGTTATGGATGTCCTTTCAAAAGTTCAGGTGTTTAACAGTCTTATGGCCTGTGGAGTGAAACTGTCCGTGAGTCTGGTGGTTTTAGACCTGATTTACCACCTGCCAGATATTTGGGTCATATTTGGTGAACATCCTGATGTCTCCCCTCCTGCAGGCTGCTGGTCTGAGAGGACGGAGGTGCACAAAGCTGCGTCTCAGGGCCAGACGTCCCAGCTGCAGAGTCTGATCCTCAGCGGAGCTTCAGTCAACGTGGTGGCGGTCGACTCCATCACCCCGCTGCACGAGGCCTGTCTGCGGGGACAGACCCAGTGTGTCCGCCTGCTGCTGGACGCCGGAGCCCAGGTGAGACAGACAGGACGGACAGGTGTAACATCCTTTTTTCCATACCCAAATCTCTAAAAACGGGGGTACAACGGAGCTGATCCAGTCTGATATGATGTAATATCTGAAATGTGGACCCACGGCCCTATCAGAAACGTTGCTATCAGAAACAATGCCTCACGTGTTTTGGACGTAATATGGTCTTTGTTTACATTAGCAAACATCGCTAACACTCAGAGCTCACCTGTACTGGAGAGCATGTGTAAAAAAGCAGGAAATGAAAAAAGGAACTCACCTTGTGGTAAACCTGAGAGAGAAAAGCATTTGAGCTCCATACTGTTTCAGAAGTAATCCTTGATGTGGGTTGGAACATGATATGGCATTTAATCACGGCAGCATTTAGCTGTATCTCTGTAGAATTCTGAGCAGGCACAAGCACCCCCTCCTTTTCCAGAATCAGCGTTTTTGTCTAAGATGTCTAGCATGCATGATCTGTTTGTTATTTTTTAGCAAAACACATCATAGACAAGTTTTTGTATATATTTGTATATATCTGAGACCCATAAGATATTGAAAAACAGTATAATAGGGGACCTTTAATGCTATCTCAGGTGGATGCGAGGAACGTGGACGGCAGCACCCCGCTGTGTGAGGCCTCCTCAGCGGGGAGTCTGGAGTGTGTGAGGCTCCTTCTGGAACGAGGCGCCAAATCCAACCCCGCCCTCACCTCCAGAACCCCCTCCCCCCTCCACGAGGCCTGCATGGGAGGTGAGGGCCTCCACATGCCTTTTTAAAATCCTGTCTCTTTGTTGTTAGAAAAATCTCACTCGTCCCCGGCTTCAGCTTCAATCTCAGGATCCATGTATTTCTGATCCTCTCAAGAATGGAAGTAGTCATCACATACAGAGCATCAACTAGTCCCTGTCTTTTTCTCAAAATTATGACTTTTTTTTAAAAATTATGACTTTTTCTCAAAATTCGGACTTTCTCGAAAAATCTCAAAATTATGACTTTTTCTCAAAATTATGACTTTCCCTCAAAATCTGACTTTCTCTCAAAATTATGACTTTTTCTCAGAATTCTCAAAATGATGACTTTTTCTCAAAATTCTCAAAATTATGACTTTCTCTAAAAATCTCAAAATAACTACTTTTTCTCTAAATTCGGACTTTCTCAAAAAATTATGACTTTCTCTAAATTCGGACTTTCTCTACAAATCTCAAAATTCAGTTCAACATGTAAGAAGTAGAAAGTACAGGTATTTGAGTTCAAAATGTAAGAAGTAAAAGTTAAAAGTCGTCAGAAAAATAAGTAGCGGAGTAAAGTACTGATACCAGAAACATGTACTTAAGTACAGTAACAAAGTATTTGTACTCCACTACTTCCCTCCTCTGGGTGGGAGGGAGTTGCGGAGGCGGGTTTATAAATAACATTATTTTACTCAATATCCTCCTGTTATTCTCCAGGTAAAGAAGACTGCGTGAAGCTCCTGATCGCCATGGGTGCAAATCTGGAGGCGTACGATATTTACTACGGGACCCCGCTACATGTAGCTTGTGCTAACGAACATACAGAGTGTGTGAAAGTGTTGCTCAACGCAGGTCAGTGCAAAGCAGGGTTGGGAAATGTACCGGACCAGATGTCACACGGCTTTATATTTGGATCTTGTTTACCCTCAGATTGTATTTCTAAATCTAGGAAGATGGATTATGGTGGAGCTGTTTTGATTTCAATAATGAGGGAATTTAAGGACAGGTCAGCTGGCCTGTAATAATATCTCCTGCCTCCTGCGCTAAAACTGGGTTTACATGAGGGTTGGGCAATGATTCAATATGATCATTAAATGTCATTGAATGGAGTCATATTGTAGGGCTGCTCAATTAATCGTATTTTAATCGCAATTACGATTTTGGCTTGCAACGATAATGAAAACAACATAATCGAAATAAAACGGTTTTTTTTGTTTTTTCAGTTGAATTGTAATAGCCGAGACCGGAAGCAGTTAGCTGCTAATGGTGGCTACCATTAGCAGCTAACTTTTGCTCTGCGATTTTTACATAAAAATTGAATTATGGATTATAAATGAAATAATTTTTTTATACAGAGACGTTAAAAACCTATGGATTAACCGATTCAGCCGCGTTTTTTCTCGTTTTAATGCCATTGAACACGTCTTTTGATCAGATTGACAGCTACGGTGAGACGATCTCCCTAGAACAGAGGTGCCCAGTACGTCAACCGCGGGGGCAATGCTGGTAGATCACGAGTCATTCATTAAAAAAAAATCCAGCTCCGTTAAAATAGACAAAGCAGGTTTTGATCCCTCCTCCCTTGGCCTCCCTGCCACTTAATTCAGGAGTTTACTTGATTGACAGAAAAAGCGACCTTTCGCTTTCCAGTCTGTTAACCCAGAATGCAAAGCGATACAAAATCAGTCAAGTGCCGGGAAAACTCAAATTAAACAAACAAGAGACTTTCACTTTAAACGTTGTGTTCATTTAGCACTCAGGTTATGCTTTTTTAGGGTTTTCCCTTTTCTGTAGTGTGTTAAAAAATGTATTTGTGTGCATTTAATTGGTCTGCAAAGGCTAAAATCCCATAATGACATCACTATCTGGGTGCATTCACACCTAATAGACAGTTTTCTAGTGAGCACCGACGACAGTTTGTTACATTGTTTCATTTTTAAGGAGGTTTGGTTTGAGTTCACAAGTTCAAAACTAAAACAGACTATAAACTTTAAACACAAGTCATGTGCTCGGAAATGCTGTTCAACCATTGGTCAGACATTAAGGGGGTAAAAACGCAAATCCCGGCAATTTCTACCGGAGCCTCCGCCATGGAGCATCGGCACTTTCGGCAGGTTATTCTCATGCAGCCGTTAATCTGGAGATCAACAGACTCTAGCGGCTCGCGCATATGATTATAAAATCAGACAACGTCCGTTAAAAAACATTATAACATAATGAGAGACGTTCTGCAGTAAGGAGGAGGTTTCACCGACGACAGGTGTTCTTACATTTATGTAGTTGACGGATAATTTTTACTTTACACGACACTGTTCAACATTTAATTCTTCTTCACTCTTTAACTAAACAACAGCGGATGTCTTGAAAGACTCTTTCGCTAAAGATTTTTGAAGACATCCGCGTTCTTGTGACACGTAAATACTACGCTTCCTATGTGTTGCTGCGGACTGCGTTCACACCAGCAATGAACCGCTCCAGAGATCGCAAGCAAGCGCTCCGAGACCACCTATTTTAGCGGACCAGAGTCCGGTTGTTTAGTTCACTTCAGAGGTCTCGGACTGCGTTCACACCGACCCAAATGAACCACATCAAGCGGCTAAACGCACCAGGGTTCGATTCAACCGGACTATACAAGGCAGGTGTGAATGCACCCTAACACTGGTGCTCCAATTGGCTAGCGCTCCAACACATTGTACGTGATAGGCTAAGGGGCGGGACATCTCTAAGCAGTTGACTAATCACAACAGAGCCGGCCAACTAACCAATCAGAGCAGACTGGGCTCTGGTTTCAGACAGAGGGTGAAAATAGGTGCTGCTGCACAGACAGTATGAGAAAAATTAAGAGCTTTTTGAACATTAAAGCAAGGAGACATGTAGAGACACTACATACTGATATACACCTGAACATCAGCAGGAGAGGACTCTTTAAAGTAGAGACACTACATACTGATACACACCTGAACATCAGCAGGAGAGGACTCTTTAAAGTAGAGACACTACATACTGATATACATCTGAACATCAGCAGGAGAGGACTCTTTAAAGTAGAGACACTACACACTGATATACACCTGAACATCAGGAGGAGAGGACTCTTTAAAGTAGAGACACTACATACTGATATACACCTGAACATCAGCAGGAGAGGACTCTTTAAAGTAGAGACACTACATACTGATATACACCTGAACATCAGCAGGAGAGGACTCTTTAAAGTAGAGACACTACATACTGATATTCATCTGAACATCAGCAGGAGAGGACTCTTTAAAGTAGAGACACTACATACTGATATACACCTGAACATCAGCAGGAGAGGACTCTTTAAAGTAGAGACACTACATACTGATATACACCTGAACTCAGCAGGAGAGGACTCTTTTAAAGTAGAGACACTACATACTGATATACACCTGAACATCAGCAGGAGAGGACTCTTTAAAGTAGACACTACATACTGATATACACCTGAACATCAACAGGAGAGGACTCTTTAAAGTAGACACTACATACTGATATACACCTGAACATCAGCAGGAGAGAACTCTTTAAAGTAGAGACACTACATACTGATATACACCTGAACATCAGCAGGGAGAGGACTCTTTAAAGTAGAGACACTACATACTGATATACACCTGAACATCAGCAGGAGAGGACTCTTTAAAGTAGAGACACTACATACTGATATACACCTGAACATCAGCAGGAGAGGACTCTTTAAAGTAGAGACACTACATACTGATATACACCTGAACATCAGCAGGAGAGGACTCTTTAAAGTAGAGACACTACATACTGATATACACCTGAACATCAGCAGGAGAGGACTCTTTAAAGTAGAGACACTACATACTGATATACACCTGAGCATCAGCAGGGAGAGGACTCTTTTAAAGTAGAGACACTACATACTGATATACACCTGAACATCAGCAGGAGAGGACTCTTTAAAGTAGAGACACTACATACTGATATACACTTGAACATCAGCAGGAGAGGACTCTTTAAAGTAGAGACACTACATACTGATAAACACCTGAACATCAGCAGGAGAGGACTCTTTAAAGTAGAGACACTACACTCACTGATATGAAACCTGGAAATTAGCAGAATAAGGCTCTTTTTAATAAGAAATAATTTAATTCACAAAGGAGTATAGTACAAAAATAAGCTTTACCATGTCATTATTTCATATAGACTACTCTTTAATTGATTCAACAGAATTTTGTTGTTCCATTGGAGGTCATTATTAAAGCATAAAAAATGCAGACAAATGTGTAAAAAAAGAAAGGAAACTTGTATTTGCAACTGTCTTTTGAAGATTGATATATTTAGTAACAACCAATAACCAGGTTAGATAAGTCAGACATTGTGTATTTGTTGATATAATAACCAGCTGACATTAAAGCTCTTTTCCCTTCAGGTGCTAAGGTGAACGCGGCCCGGCTTCACGAGACGCCGCTGCACCACGCTGCTAAAAACAAGCAGGTGGAGATGGTGGAGATCCTGGTGGAGTTCGGAGCCAACGTCCACGCCAGGGATCATCACGACAAGAAACCTGTAGATTACACAACCCCCAGCTCCCCCTCTGCTACCTGTCTACAGTTTTATGAGAGTGAGTTCCTCTATAACACTACCAGGAAGTGTATCAGTGTAGTAGTGACTTATCACCAGCAGATGGCGAGCAATGATCGCATTTTAGTTCCTATAGTTACTTTACAGATGTGGATGAATGATGTGAAATATAATCAAGTGTTAAATCAGACTTTAGTTCCACCTGGAGTAAATCCACCAGCTACCCTGCAGTATACAAAGTCCTTCAAACTAGCTGCACCTTTACCAGCTTTGAGAACACTTTCATGATCAATCATTATAAAACATATCATATATATTATTCTGAAATGGACCAATCTGCACAACGACTACTTTTACTGTCGCTACTTTCACTATATTTAGATGAGAATACTTTTCTACTTTTACTTGAGGAACATTTTGAATGCAGGACTTTTACTGTAACAGAGTATTCCTACACTCTGGTACTTCTACTTTTACCCAAGTACAACATCTGATTACTTCTACTTTTACTCAAGTACAAGATCTGAGTACTTCTACTTTTACTCAAGTACAAGATCTGAGTACTTCTACTTTTACTCAAGTACAAGATCTGAGTACTTCTACTTTTACTCAAGTACAAGATCAGAGTACTTCTACTTTTACTCAAGTACCAGATCTGAGTTCTTCTACTTTTACTCAAGTACCAGATCTGAGTACTTCTACTTTTACTCAAGTACAAGATCTGAGTACTTCTACTTTTACTCAAGTACAAGATCTGAGTACTTCTACTTTTACTCAAGTACAAGATCTGAGTACTTCTACTTTTACTCAAGTACAATATCTGAGTACTTCTACTTTTACCCAAGTACAATATCTGAGTACTTCTACTTTACTCAAGTACAAGATCTGAGTACTTCTACTTTTACTCAAGTACAAGATCTGAGTACTTCTACTTTTACTCAAGTACAAGATCTGAGTACTTCTACTTTTACTCAAGTACAAGATCTGAGTACTTCTACTTTTACTCAAGCACAAGATCTGAGTACTTCTACTTTTACTCAAGTACAAGATCTGAGTACTTCTACTTTTACTCAAGTACAAGATCTGAGTACTTCTACTTTTACTCAAGACAAGATCTGAGTACTTCTACTTTTACTCAAGCACAAGATCTGAGTACTTCTACTTTTACTCAAGTACAAGATCTGAGTACTTCTACTTTTACTCAAGTACAAGATCTGAGTACTTCTACTTTTACTCAAGTACAAGACGAGTACTTCTACGTTTACTCAAGTACAAGATCTGAGTACTTGCTACTTTACTCAAGTACAAGATCTGAGTACTTCTACTTTTACTCAAGAACAAGATCTGAGTACGTCTTTTACTCAAGTACAAGATCTGAGTACTTCTACTTTTACTCAAGAACAAGATCTGAGTACTTCTACTTTTACTCAAGTACAAGATCTGAGTACTTCTACTTTACTCAAGTACAAGATCTGAGTACTTCTACTTTACTCAAGTACAAGATCTGAGTACTTCTACTTTTACTCAAGTACAATATCTGAGTACTTCTACTTGTACTCAAGTACAAGATCTGAGTACTTCTATTTTACTCAACTACAAGATCTGAGTACTTCTACTTTGACTCAAGTACATCTGAGTACTTCTACTTTTACTGAAGTACAAGATCTGAGTACTTCTACTTTTACTCAAGTACAAGATCTGAGTACTTCTACTTTTACTCAAGTACAAGATCTGAGTACTTCTATCTTTTACTCAAGTACAAGATCTGAGTACTTCTACTTTTACTCAAGTACAAGATCTGAGTACTTCTACTTTTACTCAAGTACAAGATCTGAGTATTCTACTTTTACTCAAGTACAAGATCTGAGTACTTCTACTTTTACTCAAGCACAGATCTGAGTACTTCTACTTTTACTCAAGTACAAGATCCTGAGCTACTTCTACTTTTACTCAAGACAAGATCTGAGTACTTCTACTTTTACTCAAGTACAAGATCTGAGTACTTCTACTTTTACTCAAGTACAAGATCTGAGTACTTCTACTTTTACTCAAGCACAAGATCTGAGTACTTCTACTTTACTCAGTACAAGATCTGAGTACTTTCTACTTTTACTCAAGTACAAGATCTGAGTCCTTCTACTTTTACTCAAGTACAAGATCTGAGTACTTCTACTTTTACTCAAGAACAAGATCTGAGTACTTCTACTTTTACTCAAGCACAAGATCTGAGTACTTCTATTTTTACTCAAGCACAAGATCTGAGTACTTCTACTTTTACTCAAGTACAAGATCTGAGTACTTCTACTTTTACTCAAGTACAAGATCTGAGTACTTCTACTTTTACTCAAGTACAAGATCTGAGTATCTTCTACTTTACTCAAGTCAAGATCTGAGTACTTCTACTTTTACTCAAGTACAAGATCTAGTACTTCTACTTTTACTCAAGTACAAAGATCTGAGTACTTCTACTTTTACTCAAGTACAAGATCTGAGTACTTCTACTTTTACTCAAGTCAAGATCTGGAGTACTTCTACTTTTACTCAAGTACAAGATCTGAGTACTTCTACTTTTACTCAAGCACAAGATCTGAGTACTTCTACTTTTACTCAAGTACAAGATCTGAGTACTTCTACTTTTACTCAAGAACAAGATCTGAGTACTTCTACTTTTACTCAAGCACAAGATCTGAGTACTTCTACTTTTACTCAAGTACAAGATCTGAGTACTTCTACTTTTACTCAAGTACAAGATCTGAGTACTTCTACTTTTACTCAAGTACAATATCTGAGTACTTCTACTTTTACCCAAGTACAAGATCTGAGTACTTCTACTTTTACTCAAGCACAAGATCTGAGTACTTCTACTTTTACTCAAGTACAAGATCTGAGTACTTCTACTTTTACTCAAGTACAAGATCTGAGTACTTCTACTTTTACTCCAAGCACAAGATCTGAGTACTTCTACTTTTACTCAAGTACAAGATCTGAGTACTTCTACTTTTACTCAAGTACAAGATCTGAGTACTTCTACTTTTACTCAAGTACAATATCTGAGTACTTCTACTTTTACCCAAGTACAAGATCTGAGTACTTCTACTTTTACTCAAGCACAAGATCTGAGTACTTCTACTTTTACTCAAGTACAAGATCTGAGTACTTCTACTTTTACTCAAGTACAAGATCTGAGTACTTCTACTTTTACTCAAGCACAAGATCTGAGTACTTCTACTTTTACTCAAGTACAAGATCTGAGTACTTCTACTTTTACTCAAGTACAAGATCTGAGTACTTCTACTTTTACTCAAGTACAAGATCTGAGTACTTCTACTTTTACTCAAGTACAAGATCTGAGTACTTCTCCCACCTCTGTTTTTTTAGACACGTCTAATAATAATCCATAACACTTTACTCTTGTCCCTCCAGCCACCCCCATGAACCTGCAGCAGCTCAGCCGGCTGGCTTTGAGGGCGATGCTGGAAACCAGAGCTCTGGAAGTCATAGAAAAACTGGACATACCTAAACTCATCATCGGCTACCTGTGCTATCAGTGAGGAGGAGGAGGAGGATGAGGAGGATGAGGTGTTGAGTAGGTAAAATGTGAAACCTCAAAGAGCTGCTGCACAGAGAAACTCAAAGGTACCATTTAATATGGGAATAGGGGATGAGCACTCTGCTTCTCAATGTCAATGAATGCACGGAATGATAAACACACTCCGGTGCTACACTTCACATTTGAGAAGGTTTTCTGAACAATGCAGAAAGTCACATTCACGTCCTACAACTACTACAATTTCCTCACTCTCACGAGATCTCGCGAGACTTCATGTCAAGTTCTCATTGCAAACGCACCTTTCATGTCGCAATGATGACAGCTATTGTCAATCATTGGAAACATATTAACAATAAACAACATTGCTCTCTAAACTAACGCAAAGAAATGTTACAAAAGTCTCCTAACTTCCACTATTAAATGACCACTACTCTTTTTCCCAAGTAGTTACTTTCAGGACTTTTGGCTGTTCTCACTTCGTTCTCTTGTAGCCGCCAGCAAGCACACTTAGCTTACTCTGCTTTGAAGAGGCCATCTGTCGGCTCTCATATGAAGTTCTGCACCTGCTTACTGTTGGTTTGATCTTTACCAAGTATCAAAGCACATGTTATGCTTTCAAACCCTCGTCCAAATCTTTCATTTCTGCCCTTTTTTGCCCTGGCTTCACGATGCTGGCCTGAATATACGCAGCTCGTCTGCTGCACTCCATAAATACGCCAACATGGCTGTTACACTTTAATCAAAATATAAATTCCTGGCAACCTATCATTCCCATCATTACAAGTGACTTGTTTTCATGGTACAAAAATGCAGCCTGGTTCATTTTTATCTCAGCCTGTAATAAATAATCCAGAAGCACAGATCTGCCCTTCTTCCCATGGACTGTTCTCTTTAAGTCTTAAAATATCCGACCCTGATACCGACGGGGTTTCTTCTTATAGCTCCTTAACAGCAGAAGGACTGGAAAAAAGCAGAGTAGAGCAGGCATGCAGGGAATGTTATCTAAGATGAGAAATGATCCTTGTTTTGCTTCAGGTTGGTTTGTGTGGATCTCTCCTGCTGCTGCTCCGTCGGGTTAAACATATTTTTGTGTGTCTTATTCAAGTGAATAATGTCTTGAGGTGCTGATAAATCAGCGCATGGACATGCTTTACTGTTAGTATTTATCTTATGAAGCTGTACAGACGTGTTGCTTTGATGGTTTATGTTAATTTATTGAATACATTATACTGTTGGTGTGCTTGTTGCACTTTATATTTTTGCATGAATCTGGATTTCACATGTTTTCTGGACTGTATGTCCTCATTGTGGCCATAGTAATAGTCAATAATGATTTAAAGGTGGGGTAGGTAATTTTGGAGAAACCAGCTCGAGTGCGCTAGAATTTGAAAATACATAACCGGAAAAAATCTGCCACTTCCTCACAGAGCCCCTCCTCCAACACACACGAACGCGCACATGACCAATGAGGGCACGAGGTAAGTTTGTGCCCAGATGGAAGGCTGACAGGCAGGTAGGCCATCCAGTTACTTTAGCCGGGCCGGCTCAGAGGATTGGTCGTGCTTTTTACAGCGCCACGGCTTCCACTGATGACATTGTTTTATGGATTTTTTTGTCAAAGCATTTAATATATTCATTGCTATCGGGATGTTAAGAGCATTCCATGGAATATAACAAAGTGTATCTCGAGCCGGTTTCTCAAACGTACCTACCCCACCTTTAAGGACTTAACATTTATTTGTAAAATGACTTAAGCAATCCAAGTTTTTTGGGGGCTTTAACGTTAAATGTGGGTTCACGAAGTTACAGTCAACTAGTAGGGAGCAATAAAAGAGGATTTAAGGTAGTACAATATCAAACTGTGTGATGTTTTGTATACTTGCCTTTCCGAATTTTATAAAACTTGACAATAAATCAAATTTACGAAATTTGATCTAATCAAAATGCCTGTACATTTCACTATAAACACATTTTCATATGTTATAAGAGTTTAAATTGGGCATGTACAGCATGTTCAACAACACACTCAGTTGCAATTGTTGACCACTAGGGGGCGCCACATGTCCACCAGAAAAGTGCAGTATTAGTGATCTGACGCCAAAAATGAATCCCAGACTACTCTCAGCTTTAATGAATCCATCACTTCTGATTTACATCTGTCAGGAAACACAGCTCTGAGTCTCTGGAGGGATATATCTTCCTCGTTGCTCAGAGAGGGGGATCACGTGTTCGGCAGTAAAGGAGGAAGAGGAGGAAAAAGATCAGGAGTGTAGATTGTAGATTTTAGGCACTAAGCAGACAGGAAGTGGGAGGCTTTTGTTTGAGAATCAGATAAACAGTGAGCTGGATGCTGTGATGGTCCACTGCTATAACCCCCCATCAGACTCTGCAGCCTGGAATGAGCTGCAGATGTGAGACTAATTCAGCAATAGTCTGCAACTGAATTAAATAAAGAGACAAAAACCAAAACACACAGACTTTGAAGTATGCTTCAAGATGCAGGAAATGTTTAAAGAGGACAGTTTATCCACATGTTCAGGTGTATGTCAGTATGTAGTGTCTCTACTGTGACATGTCTCCATGCTTTAAAGGTCCCATGTCATGGCCATTTCTACTGATCATAACTCCATTGTTGAGGTCGACTAGAATAGATTTAAATTGTGCAATTTTCCAAACTCACATTGGTTTCTAATACAGCATCTCTGTAAAGTATGTGTATTCACTCTTCTGCCCCCCCCCCCATCAACCCTGTGAGCCCAGTGTGCTCTGATTGGTCGGGACGTTGCGAGGCTCGCTGCTCAGTGAGCTGGCTTACTGGTGTGGTTTCCGGGTCGGCGATACAGCGAGAACAAGCGAAACTCATCCTGAGCACACACACACTCACAGCCGAAGTAAAAACAATAAGTGTGGCTTGATATTGAGAAAGAAAAAGGTTTCTAACGCTGTGAGAATGGGTCTGCGGAGAGCATTTCTCCACCATCCCAACTCGTCTATTACCAACCAGGGAGCTCTATGCAAGTCAATGGGACTCCCTGTTAGTTGAAAATGTACGCTAAAGGTCCTGGTGTGTGAGGAGCTCCTCGGATTGGTCCATTTTGGTTCCCGGAAGAAACAAATGGAAAAAGAGAAATCCCCAACGAGGCGTTCTGGGGCAGCACAGACAGGTCTTCTCTGTGTTAGAGTTTTACTCGCTACAGGGTGCACTTTGAGGGTTTGTGACTCTGCAGACCGTTTACATGCAGAACAACCTTCATAACACAAGGGGACGGGTGATAACCAGAAAAGCATGACATGGGACCTTTAATGTTCAAAAAGCTCTTTATTTTTCTCACACTGCCTGTGCTGCAGCACCTCTTTTCACCCTCTGTCTGAAACCAGAGCCCAGTCTGCTCTGATTGGTTAGCTGGCCAGTTCTGTCCGTTGTGATTGTTCAAAACCCGAAACCTCTGGAGGGAACACAGGATTGTAGCCTTTGCAGACCATTAACATGCACAAAAGCCTATATAGCACACGACAGGGAAGAGAAACCCCAACATGCCTGATTTAAAAATGGCTAAAAAGTGAATTGAGGTCCAAAAAAAATGCACTTTCAAAGTGAACTGGACTAGTGTAGATTCACTCTAGCTCACTTAAATAAACCACATATCTCTTAAAGACGCAGCATTAAAGTCTCTTTCGATTCTCGTAAAACACGTTTTTCCGAGGGTTTGATTTGCCCTTCCTGTCTTGATGTTTTCTTCTGCCGTGACCTGCAGGATTAGATTGATCCACCGCTCCGCTGCAGAGAGCTCGGAGTAAATGGAGGAACACTTTGAAGACGGACTAATCTCCATGAACGGAAGTGATGTGACTCAGCAGCTGTTGTATTCTGTCAAACAACCTGCACAACTGGAACCTTATGGAGAGAAAACTCGCTCAGTGAGCCTGAGAACAGATCGCATGTCTTCCCACGCTTTTAAAATTCACTTTAAGAGTAAATCGGGTCTCTTTTCTGCTGAAAAACGTTGCTACTGAGCTGGCTCCAGTGTGGCAACCCATCTTTCAGGCTTCTATTGACACCATCCCTCTGTCATGGAAAACTTCACACATCAAACCGCTACCCAAAATTCCATGCCCAAAAGAACATAAGGACTACAGACCAATAGCCCTCACATCAGTGATTATGAAATCACTAGAAAGAATTCTGCTCCGAAGACAAACTGGATCCATACCAATTTTCCTATAAACAAGGGTGCGCTACGGAAGATGCTTTGGCCACTGGTTCACATCATCACTAAACATTTAGATAAACGCAACACCTATGCAAGAGCCCCCTTCCTAGACTTCTTATCAGCCTTCTACACAATACAAGCAGACATCTTGGTGTCAAAAATGGCCAAAATGGAAGTAAATCCATACCTGATTTACTGGTATGCTGCTTTCCTCACTAGTAGAGAGCAACTTGTGAAGGTTAACAAAACCCTGTCATCTGCCATCACAGCCAATGTAGGTGCCCCCCCCCCCCCCCAGGGCTGCGTGAGTTCAGCTGTGCTCTTTACATTACATTACATTGCATTTAGCTGACGCTTTTATCCAAAGCGACTTATAATAAGTACATTCGACCAGGAAGACACAAACTTGAAGAAAACAGAATCATATAAGTACATCAGGTTTCATAGAGCCAAACATTTCAAGTGCTACTCAACTGGCTTTAGATAAGCAAGTCCTTTATTAGTATAAAAGTGCTTCGTTAATAGTTCTATCGCTCGAAGTGGAGTCGAAAGAGATGAGTTTTCAGTCTGCGCCGGAAGATGTGCAAGCTATCTGCTGTCCTGATGTCAATGGGGAGCTCATTCCACCATCTTGGAGCCAGGACAGCAAACCCACGTGTTTTCGCCGATGGGAACTTGGGTCCCCCTCGCAGTGAGGGTGCAGCGAGCTGTTTGGCTGATGCAGAGCGGAGTGCACGCGCTGGGGTGTACGGTTTAACCATGTCCTGGATGTAGGAAGGGCCAGATCCATTCGCAGCATGGTAAGCAAGTACCAGTGTCTTGAAGTGGATTCTAGCAGTTACCGGAAGCCAGTGAAGGGAGCGGAGGAGCGGAGGAGCGGAGGAGCGGAGGAGCGGAGTGGTGTGGGAGAATTTAGGAAGGTTGAAGACCAGACGAGCCGCTGCATTCTGGATGAGCTGCAGAGGTCGGATGGCACATGCAGGTAGACCAGCCAGGAGGGAGTTGCAGTAGTCTAGGCGTGAGATGATGATGAGTTACTCTCTACACGATGATTGTCGTACCAAATCAAGTCATCATTAAGTACTCTGATGATACTGCAATAATATCTCTGCTCAGTAACACAGACGACCCTGAGCTGCACCAACAGGCTGTAAATCAGCGAGTGGACTGATAGCAATGCTCTTGAGATCAACACCAAGAAAACTGAGGAAATCATTTGTGGCTCACCATCTGACTCCCATAAAGTCCCCATGGTCATCCATACAGATGAGATCAAGCAGGGAGTTCCATACAAACACGTGGGTGTAATGATGACCGTCTGCTGTCATGGAAGGATCACATTGAACATCTGAGCAAAAGGACAAAACAAAGAATTTATTTTCTCCGCCGTCTCAGGTCTTTTGAGGCGAGCAGAGAAATTCTTCTGTTGTTCTTTACATCTGTGATCATGTCTAATCTACGGTACTGCAATACTACCTGGTACAAGTGTTTGTCAGCAGCTTTAAAATCAAAACTGCTCCACCTGTTAAAAATCTGCTCAAAGATAGTTGGTCCACCTGTCAGAGACTCTATGACTCATCATAACGACCTATAGGCTGTCCATCCACATCATCTCCGACCCAAACCATGCTCTGCACAGTGAGTATGAACTGCTACCATCTAATGGAGATACAGGGGCCCACCATTCAATAAAGTCAGACTGAAGCATCCTTTGTGCATCAGTCAATCCTCTCAGTGAACACAGAGCTGATCCCAGATCAGATGCACACTGAAGGCTCTGAGAAGGATACTTGTCTGTTGACGTTGGACATGGAGCTGCTGTGACGCAAGTCAAATTTGATCTGACAAATAAAGTATTATCGTATCGATTCCTCTGCTAGACATTTGATTTTTGGAAACTTGCAGACTTCCTATGTCCAGCCCATGATTGTAACGCTATGTGCTGTGGGTGTTTCTCTTATGTAAACTGTCTAGGATTTACTCTATCCAAGTATTTACAAAGAGTCTGCAAACACTGTCTGACGTCTTGCAGCCTTATCACCACACCAGGAGACTGAAGGCGAAAAAGTAGTCCCTATTTTCACATAATTTCACATGAGTGCTGAGAAGAAGAGGCACCACGAATCTTATAAATTAAAACCTAAAGAAAACACACAGATTGAGGTGATTACCACTTTGATTATACCCGTTCATTGATGAGACCGGTAAATGAAAGACTCCTTAAAGTGGCTTTTTGATTGTTTCCAGACCGTTGAATGCTGGTCTGCAGT